CGAACACCGCTGGGACATCACCACGATGACGGTAAAGGAGGCACTGGCGAGCTGGAAGGGTGAGGCGGTGAAGGCCGCCATGGAAGAAGAGATCCGCAGCCTCATCGACATGGGCACTTGGGAGCTGGTCGAGCGCCCACGCAAGGTAAACATCATGAAGAACCGGTGGGTGCTGACGACCAAGTACCGCATCGATGACACCGTCGAGCGCGAGAAGGCGAGGCTGGTCGTGAAGGGCTTCACACAGGTGTGCGGTGCCGACTACGACAAGACGTACTCGCCGGTGAGCAGCTACGGCACGTTGAGGATCTTCCTCAGCATCGTCGCCGTCCTCAATCTCAACCTGATGCAGCTCGACATGAAGAACGCTTTACTGCAGAGCAAGCTCGACAGGGTGCTCTACATGTACCAGCCGGACTACTTCAATGATGGGACTGGCCGGGTGTGTAAGCTGCTGAAGAGCCTCTACTGGCTGAAGCAGTCGACGCTGCTGTGGTACAGGGCACTCGACGGTATGCTGCTGGGCGCTGGCTGGAAGAAGAGCCAGGTCGACGAGGTGCTCTACTTCAAGAACGGCGACAACAGAGTGACCTGCTGGGTGCTGGTCTACGTCGACGACCTGCTTGCCGCCAGCAGTAGCCCCGCGATGCTGAAGGAGCTAAAGGAGCTGCTGGAGGCTGCCTTCGAGCTACGCGAGATTTCGCCAGTCGCCAAGTACCTCGGTGTGGAGATAGTGCGCGACAGGCCAGCGAAGAAGCTGTGGCTTCACTAGCAGGGCTACGCCGACAAGCTGTGCAGGCGCTTCATCGACGAGGAGCAGGGCGGTCGAGTCCCAAAGACGCCGGTCTCGGTCGATGCCTAAGACGAGCTGACATTCGACGACGATGAGGCGCAGGAGCGCGAGGAGGAGGAGTACCGGCAGAAGGTTGGCTCGCTGCAATTCGCGGCGACGACGACGAGGCCGGACATCGCGTTCGCCTGCAGCAAGCAGGGGAGCGGCCTAACGGTGAGGAGCGACCGACATTGGCGCGAGGTCGACCGCTGCCTCGCCGACCTTGCTGACACCCGCGATACCGCCTTGGAGTTCGGTGGTGGACCAGATTCGCTGGAGCTGATCGGCTACGTGGACGCCAACGACGCAGGCGACAAGCAGAAGCGGACGGCCACGAGCGGCTACGTGTTCGTCTACGGAGGGGCCGTCGTCTCTTGGTCGAGCTCGCGCATCAAGTGCGCAACAATGTCGTCGACAGAGTCGGAGTACGTTGCGGCTACGAATGCAGGCAAGGAGGGATGCCGACTTCGTTTCCTTCTTGCGGAGTTCAAGCTGCTCGACGCTGGGAAGCCGACCATCCTTCGAGTCGACAACAAGTCGGCAATTACGGTCGCTGCGGGCTTGGGGCTCACGGGCAACCTCAAGCACATGGAGCGACGCTATGCCTGGCTGCAGCACATGGTGAGGCGCGGGAAGTTCGTACTGAAGTACATCCCGACCACCGAGCAGCCAGCAGACTTCCTGACGAAGGTGCTGCATTTTCCGGCTTTCAACCAGTGCTCTGTCGCCATCGGCCAAGTTCGTCTGGCCGACGTCGGCGACGGCGACGATGATGTGCAGCAGTAGGTGCCGTGCCCTTCAGCACGGCTGGTGCGGTGATGGCGTGCTATGTGGGGTGCACGCCGAGGACAAGTTTTCTCCGTAGTGTGATGCCGTGTGGGCTGGGGGCCCAAGCGTGAGCGCGGCAGGGGAGTGTTAACGGGAGTGGAGTGTTGGCCCCGTCCTTGCTTGGGCAACGCCGACAACTCAGTCGGATGTACGGGAGTAGCAACCGACCGTCCACAGTGGGAGAGCTGCTCGACAGGCTTTGTCGAGCTGCAGGGGACCGCTGTGGTGTTGCAGTCGACCAGGGAGCTCAACAGCTGCAACTAACTGGTGTGGGCGACGGGTGGGCCGTCGACCAGGAGGGGTAGTTCGACCGGGAGGTCGACGAAGCAATCCGTCGACCTGAGAAGTGAGCAGCGGTCGACGAGGGGAGCTCGGCGACAACAGCTGACATTTCTAGTCGTCGGAAGGGGTCCGTTGACCAAGGGGTAGCTCGACGGGAGCAGTGGTCGACCAGGGGCATCTGGTGGTCGACCAAAGGGACTTGGTGGTCAACCAGAGCACCTGGGGTTGTCCAGGTCGACCGGGTAACCTGCTCAGCGAGTTCTGCAGAGGCACACAAACGTCGTCGAGGTCGCGATGGCGAAGGCGACTTCGTGTAGGTATCCCGAAGTCGATGTGGCTCGTCAGGCGCAGACAACAGCCGACGGATGCACAACGGTGCAAGTCGGGCCAATCGTCTGCGCGCATCTGCGAGCGTGCGCACTGTAGTCTTCTACGGGGCAGCGTTGGCACACCGTCGTCCTGCTGTGTTGGCATGTCGCCTTTCTGCAGTGCTGGCGCGGCTCCTCTACGCAACGCTGGCAAGCGGTCGACCATGCTGTGCTGTCTGTCGACCAGGCTAGCTGCAGAGTTGCTAGGTGCCTGATGTAGTCATCATTGTCATTGCTTGTTCAACAATTATGGAATTCTAACTTTGCTAGTGGAAACTCTTGCCGATTTTTGTAAGTGCTAATGAACTAGGCAAAGCTACGATCACTCATAGTAGTTCGTGCCAACCCCCGTAGCCTAGCTTACTACCGTTGTAGAGTGATTCTCCGCAGGGCTTGGGCTTGGGCTTGGGCTTGGGCTTGGGCTTGGGATTGGGCTTAGGCTTGGGCTTGGGCTTGGGCTTGGGCCAGGGCTTGGGCTTGGGCTTGGGCTTGGGCTTGGGCTTGGGCTTGGGCTTGGGCTTGGGCTTGGGCTTGGGCTTGGGCTTGGGTGTGGGCTTGGGCTTGGGCTTGGGCTTGGGCATGGGCTTGAGCTTGGGCTTGGACTTGGGCTTGGGCATGGGCTTCAGCTTCGGCTTCGGCTTCGGCTTGGGTATGGGCTTGGGCTTGGGCTTGGGCATGGGCTTGGGCTTGCGCTTGGGCTTGGGCTTGGGCTTGCGCTTGGGCTTGGGCTTGGGCTTGCGCTCGGGCTTGGGCTTGGGCTGGGGCTTGGGCTTGGGCTTGGGTTTGGGCTTGGGCATGGGCATGGGCTTGGGTTGGACTTGGGCTTGGGATTGGGCTTGGGCTTGGGCTTGGGCCAGGGCTTGGGTTTGGGCATGGGCTTGGGCTTGGGCTTGGGCTTGGGCTTGGGCTTGGGCTTGGGCTTGGGCTTGGGCATGGGCTTGGGCTTGGGCTTGGGCTTGGGCATGGGCATGGGCATGGGCATGGACATGGGCATGGGCGTGGGCATGGGCATGATGGACATGGACATGGATATGGGCAAGGGCATGGGCATGGGCGCGGGCATGGGCATGGGCATGGGCATGGGCATGGGCTGGCATGAGCATGGGCAAGACGTAGAGAGTGACCGAACCTAGTGTAGCCACCACGTCAAGCCGTGTGGTTGTTGACGTAGTAGAGGGGGTAGAAGCAGAGGGTGGAGAGAGAAGGAGGGGGTCGGCGTTTTGAGTCGACTCAAAACAAGACGTAGAGAGTGACCGAACCTAGTGTAGCCAAACTAAGATTCTTAGGTTAGTGATATTTGAAGGTATTGCACGATTTCATTACCATCAGTCACCAAACAATGCGTTGTTCTCTCGCATTTTGCGAGAGTGCTCGTGTTATGGAATGTACTTACTACAGCTACTTGAAGTTTGCATCCTCTTAATGCTTCTCGATAAGGAAGACAGGCCACACCAAACCAGGGTTTCCCCCACCCGCCACCATATCCATTGGATGGCGAAAGATTTGCTTAACAGTCGCCTGCCAACCCTGAGCGAAGGCATGCACTGGTCCATGGTCCACACCACAGCCAAATCCCCAATCCACGCACCACATCCCAATAACGCCAACAGTGCCGTAATATGCAGTCATGGGTACTTAACCCTCCTTTCACCTGACCGATGGCGGTTTTAGAGAAACCAGTGAATTGTGTTCATCTCCGAACTCCGTGCGGAAGGTGGAGATAGACTGCCCAGAATCAAAGTGACTACGAATTACGTTTAGCTGAGTGGCGTGAAGAAATTGTGGTTGCTTTGTTTAGTATCTTTATAGCTTGAGCAACATCCACCACATTATCCATCCACACGCTCCCCTTCACTCATCACCGTCCATGGCCAGCTTCTGCGGCTCGACCATCGCGACGCGTCGCCGACACGCACACACACACACACACACCTCCCTCCCTCGCAGCTGCACCATCAACCACCGAAGAACCAACTCAACTCAGTCGCTCTGTTGGCAGCCAAAATGGAGCGACAGCCACACCAGCCAGATCGGCAGTGTCTGTACAGCATCGACCAAGTGATGTCAGAATTTATGAGGCGTTGTGCAGAAAATTAGGTCAGCAAAGGAACAATGTTCCTTGCTTAGCTATATGCACCTACCCCTCGTGCGATCGCATTTTTTGGGCATGGTGGTGGTGGTGGTGAGCTCGCCGCCGCTCCCCAAAAGCGCCACTGCTGCCGCTGTGACAGCAGTTTCTTTCAACGCGCTTCGTTCTGCTTCTTATCAAACTCGAAATCATGCCTCTGCAGAACGCCGCGCCTTCCGCAGCGATGGCTGTTCCATGGCGCCGCTCGACTCACCAGACAAAGATCTCCGCTTTGTGCCGCCATCGCACCATCCTACCGACCTGGCTGTTCGTCGCCGCGCTTCTTGCCGCCTCGCGCGCACCGCTGACAGCCAGCCAACGAATTAGCAGCCATACAGCGGCCCGCAGGCATTTAGCGCCTCGGGCGGAATCTCCTCCGCTTGGCCGAGAGCAATTCGCGTCGGCGTACGCTCGCACGAAGGAGCTTTCCGGCGACGATAAACCAGTGTTCTTGCGACCGACTGGGTCGCAGGCGTCGCGAGGCAGTCGCACGCGGGCATCGCGATCGCTGATTCGCCTCCAGCAGGGAACGCCGCCCGTCGGTAATCCCAAGGTCGCGACCATGACGACCCCTGGCGCCGCCGCAACCGCCTTTCCGAGCGGCATCGCCGCGATTCTCAGGTGCGCCGCAGGCGATTCCTGGGTTGAGAGACAATCACACTGGATGCTTTTCTTGATTGCATCCCTGGGTACGCCGCAGTCGGGACTAGATAGATACTATTGCAAGAGTTCGTGACAAATTCTGCTGGAAAATCGAATTCTCGAGTAAATTCTGCGCCCCAATCGCGTCTACTCCTCCGGAACCATCACCCACCCCGCCTGTGCAGCGACGCGCATGACGTAACAGCGACCTCCGCCCCTCCTTCCGCCGCCGCAAACCACGCGCTCGCCGCCACAGTCGGGCCGCTGAGCACCAGCGGGGCGACGGGGGGCGGGAGAAAGGCGGTGACTGCGGGGAGGGGGAGGACGGGGCCGATCGGAATCTTCCCGCACTGGAGCGCGAGTTGCGCGGGGCGCGCGTGCGGCGTGATGGAGCGGCCAATCAGCGTGTACGTCGTGTGGTACGGCGCATTCTCCGAGGCGCAGAAGCAGATGGTCCGCGCGCTCACCGCCTCGCTCAGCCCGAACGCCGACCCGTCCGTCACAGGTGCCGTCCCCTTGTTGTAACCAAGCAGTAACAGGAATTGCAAGAGATTAAGGCTCTCATCTTAGTTCCTTTAATTTTCATACCTGAACCAACCTGTTCCCCCCGCTTCTCGCCCCTCGTTCCTCTTCCGTTCCCCCACCCTTCCCCTTGCTCTCTGCCCCTCGCCCTCGCTCCATGCAGTTCCCCTCTGGTGGAACATCAACCGTCTGTATTACGACTCAAGGGGTAACCACATCTCCGAGTCCGTTACATGGGGTGGCGAGGTCGAGGATGCAAACTATTCCCGAGGCAAGACCCTTTCAGATGCTGACGTCAGGAGCCTCATCACCAACGCAATCTCCTCCAACCTGCTTCCTTATAACGAGGACGGAGTGTACTTCGTCCTTTCGGATGAAACCGTATCCCAGATGTGGAATTTGCCGGGCGGCAGCAAACCAGCGTTCTGCTCTAGCTTCTGCGGGTGGCACTGGCACGGCCGAGCCTCCAGCTTCGGCAGCATAGTGTACTCCTGGGTCGGGAACGCGGCAACATTGTGCCCCAGGTCTTGCATCACGCGAACACTGCGTGCCAGCGGGGCGGCGCCGCCCAATCAGGACGCGGGGATGGATGGGCTGCTGTCGGTGTTTGCGCATGAGCTGGCGGAGGCGACGTCAAGCCCGTTCATTGCAACGTGGTTTGATAACACCGGGGAGGAGAACGCCGACAAGTGCTCGTGGCAGTGAGTGGCAGGGTGGGAGGGAGTGGCTGGGGGAGAATGATGGGTGTGAGTGGTCAATTATTCCGCATGAGCTGGCAAAGGCGACGTCGAGCCCGTTCATTGCCACGTGGTTCGATGGCACGGGGGAGGAGAACGCTGACAAGTGCTCGTGGCAGTGAGTGGCTGGCAGGGTGGGAGGGAGTGGTGGGAGTGATTGGCGTCACTTGTTCGTGAATTGCGAAATGTTTGTCACATGTAGAATACGTTGCCATGCATGGATAGTGGTGGCTTACGCATGAATAGAGGGGTCGACGCTTTCAAGCTCCTTGTCACTCCCCATACCCCCTACCCCCTCTCCCTTTCCCCCTCTCCCTGTGCCTCCCTCCCTTGCTGCTACAGGTTCGCCCCTATTCTCGTGGACGCATCAGGAGCACGCTACAACCTGGTGGGGGTGCACGGCGCTCTAAGTTCCTCATCCAGCACAACTGGGACCTCACCACTGGCTCATGCCACCACTCTCCTCCTGTCCCTCTCCTGCAGGTTCGCCCCCATTCTCACTGATTCTTCTGGTGCCAGGTAGAACCTGGTGGCGGTCAACGGCTCCAAGTTCCTCATCCAGCAGAGATGGGACCTCCTCTCTGCCTCCTGCCACCTCACCCACACCCACCCTCTTTCCCCCTCCTCCTATCCATCTCTGCCTCTGCCACTGCAGGATCGCCCCCATTCTCACTGATGCTTCTGGTACAACCTGGTGGGAGTCGACAGCTCAAAGTTCCTCAGCCCCCCACCAATTTTCCTGTCCCTCTCTGCTTCTCGCCACTGCAGGTTCGCCCCCATTCTCACTGACGCTTCTGGCGCCAGGTACAACCTGGTGGGGGTCGATGGCTCTAAATTCCTCATTCAGCAGAACTGGGACCTCACAACTGGCGCCTGCGCCACCACTCTCCCCTACCCTTCGCCAGCCTCCCCTCCCCCGCCGCCCAAGTCCCCCCCTCCGCCTAAATCCCCCCTGCTGCAATCAAATCTGGAGAAGATATGGAGGAGAATATGGGGGAGAGGGAAGCGATGAGGGGTGTGGGGGGGAGGGGAATGGGGAGGTGGGTTGGGTGGGGAGGGGGGGGGTGCATTGCCTGACAACAACCCCCATCTACCTGGTCTGCTAGATGGGGTATATGGGGGGTTGTCCCTGCCTGATGGGGCTATTGTTGTCAATGTATGGGGTTGTTACTAGTGCTGTTTGCGTGCCTGTGCCTGCACTGGCAGGGCTAGTCAGCAGTGTTTTTGCCCCTGCCACCATAGCATGTATCATATCCACCTTGGCCTTTCGTTTCGTTGTTCCATGTCGAGGGGAGTGGAGCTCTGAAAAGAAATAAAGAAAAAAATTGCATCACACTGCAAAAACAATCTCTTGTGAACATTCGCTATCGGACATTTGAGGTGTATGGTACCGAAAGGGTGGTGGGAGCATTGCATAGCGAACAGGAGGTGGTGGGATGCAAAAGAGGGTGCATGTGGGGGTGGTTGCCGTGAGTTATAACCAAATTGTGCTGCCTTGGTCCCATCCATGTCCCTATACGAGCACTTATGGTATCACACCCCCTTGCTTGTCAGCACTTTTCTGCTCCCCTACCCATGACCTCAAAATTTTGACAGCGCAACAGGGGCAATAACTTATTCTTTTGCACAACACTGTAGGTGGTGTATCATACAACACAACTGTACAGCATTCATTCATACAACTTTGATTGACTATCGGCGATTCGGCCAGAGTTTCTTGAATAGCCGTTGCATGTATTCCCCCATGCTCTTGGGGGAACGCAGAGGAGGGGGAAGGGCGCGCATGCGAGGGGATGGAGGGGGCGGAGGGGGGGAAGGAGGGGGTGATGGGGGCGAGGGGGGAGGCGGAGGGGAGGGAGGGGGAGAGGGCGGAGAAGGAGGAGGGGGAGATGGAGGAGGTGGTGAGGGTGGGGGAGGAGAGGGAGGTGGGGGGCTTGGAGGTGGGGGAGGGGATGGGGGGGAGGGAGGGGGAGAGGGTGGTGGAGGGGGGGAGGGAGGCGGGGGAGGAGGGGAGGGAGGCGGAGGAGGGGAGGGAGGGGAGGGGGGAGGAGGAGGGGCGGGGGGGGTATGGGAGGGTGAGCTTGCAGGTACCAGTGGTGAGGTCCCAGTTGTGCTGAATGAGGAACTTAAAGCCATTGACCCCCATCAGGTTGTACTTGCCTCCTGTTGAGTCGGTGAGAATGGGGTTGAACCTGCCGTGCAAGAGACAGGAAGGGGGGGAATAGCAAGCAAAAGTGGGGAGAGGGAGGTGTGGGGAGGGACAGGGAGAAGGGGAAAAGCAAGTAAAAAGGGAGAGAGGGGGGTGTGGGGATGAGGAACATGGAGCCGTTGACTCTTGTTGACTCCCACCAGGTTGTATCTGCGGTTCGAATCCTTTCTCTACTCTACCAGGTTGTATCTGCGGTTCGAATCCTTTCTCTACTCTACCAGGTTGTATCTGCCTCCCGAGGAACCTGTAAGGATGGGGTTGAGCCTGCGATGCAAGGGACAGGGAGGGGCAGGAAGAGGGAGGGCTTTAAGATGCGATTAAGGGTCACATGATCACGCGGTGCCGTTAAAACTCTCAATTATGCGCACTACCTTGTTTCAGCACCATCCCACCATCCCCACCCCCACGACCCCCACCGTCCCGACCATTCCCCCACCATCCCCACCATTCACCCCACCATCCACACATCTCCCTTCCTCCCACCACCACCCTCTACTCACTTCCATGCGCATTTATCCGCGTTCTCCTCGCCCTGCTCGTCAAACCACGTGCCCACGAACGGCGACGATGCAGCCTCTGCCAGCTCGTGCGCAAACACGGAGAGCAGAGCGTCCATGCCCACGTCTCTATTCGGTGCCTTGCTGGCCGTGCGGATGTCACTTGCAATGCACGAGGTGGGGCACTGGGGGGGTGAGGAGGAGGCAGGGAGGGGGGGAGTGGGAGGATTGGAGAAGGGGTAGAGGGGGTGGCAGCACCATGCGCTTCATTCCTCCGCCTCTGCCAGCTCGTGCGCGAACACGGAGAGCAGAGCATCCATGCCCACGTCTTTATTCGGTGCCTTGCTGGCCGTGCGAATGTCAGACGCGATACAGGACGTGGGGCACTGGTATAAGGGTAGGGGGGCAGGCGAGGGGAGGCGAGGGATTGTGACTGTTTGAGCTCGTGGGCGAACACGGAGAGTAATGCGTCCATGCCCACGTCTTTATTCGGTGCCTTGCTGGCCGTGCGGATGTCACTGGTGATGCACAAGGTGGGGCACTGGTATAAGTGGGAGAGGGGGGAGGGTGGCTAATTGAGCTTGTGGGCGAACACTGAGAGTAACACATCCATGCCCACATCCTTGTTAGGTGCCTTGCTGGCCGTGCGGATGTCACTGGCGATGCAGGAGGTGGGGCACTGGAGGGGTGGGGTGGGTGTGGCGGGAACAGGTGGTTTGAGCTGGTGGGCATCCATCCCTACATCCCTGTTAGGTGGTTTGAGCTGGTGGGCATCCATCCCTACATCCCTGTTAGGTGGTTTGAGCTGGTGGGCATCCATCCCTACATCCCTGTTAGGTGGTTTGAGCTGGTGGGCATCCATCCCTACATCCCTGTTAGGTGGTTTGAGCTGGTGGGCATCCATCCCTACATCCCTGTTAGGTGGTTTGAGCTGGTGGGCATCCATCCCTACATCCCTGTTAGGTGGTTTGAGCTGGTGGGCATCCATCCATACATCCCTGTTAGGTGGTTTGAGCTGGTGGGCATCCATCCCTACATCCCTGTTAGGTGGTTTGAGCTGGTGGGCATCCATCCCTACATCCCTGTTAGGTGCCTTGCTGGCCGCGCGGAGGTCACTAGCGATGCAGGATGTAGGGCACTGGGATTTGGGGAAGGAGAAGGCGCGGGAAGGACACAGACCTCTACAAAACCCACCACCCACAGATGCCCATCAGCCCCCAATACCCCCATCCCTCGCACGCACGAGGCGGTCAGCGCGGCCGGCCCAGGCGTAGATGAAGCTGCCGCGGGAGTCAGTCAACCAAATGCCGCCCAACCCATACCCCCCACAGCCCCCAATAAACCATCCCCCCCCACCCCCCCCCTCCCCCCGCTTCCTTCTCCCCCCCACCCGCACGTACGAGGCGGTCGGCGCGGCCGACCCAGGAGTAGATAAAGCTGCCTTGGGAGGGCGCGGAGCCGAAGAAATGCCACCCGCAGAACGTGGCACAGAACTTGTCTGTTGCGCTCCATTGCTGCGGGGACGGGGGAAGGGAAGGGGGGAGAGGAAGGAATGAGGGGGGATGTGAAGGGCCGAGTGGGGAGCCGAAGAAGTGCCACCCGTAGAACGTGGCGCAGAACTTGTCCGTTGTGCTCCATTGCTGCGGGGACAAGGGAGGGGGTTTGAGGGGCGTTGGGGGGCGACAGGCGATGAGAGGGAGAGGCGAGAAGGAAGGATCTTGCATCTTGTAGGATGTAGCGAGGTTGTAGCGATGCTACACGTGGCGAGAAGGAAGGATCTTGCATCTTGTACGATCTCCAAGGAAGAAGCCAGGAGAGCAGGAGGTAAGGGATACACGAGGAGACTAAGAAAGAGAAGGGACATTGTTGAAACACAAATACATCATTCCGCTAACCTGGTTCACGTATTGGTCCGAGAGCACAAAGTACACTCCATCCTCGTCATAAGGCAGCTCGCTCGTAGCAATGGCCGTGGCGACCACTGCTTCCACGTCATCCAGCCACAGGTTCTTCCCCCGGGAGTACCCCGTGTCATCTTTTTCCTTCACCCACGTTACGTTCGACGAGATGAAACGCCCCTGCTGGTCGTAGTAAAGCCGGTTGATGTTCCACCAGAGGGGAACTGTAACGGCGGGATCGTCGCTCGGACTGAACGACCTGGTGAGCGTACGAACGAGGTGCTTCTGCGCCTCGGAGAAGTAACCGTACCACACCACGTACACTCGAATTGGTTTCCACATGACACCGCATCTGTCCGTACAGTAATAGCTCCAATGCGGGCTGATGCCGATGGGGGTCGTCGCTGACGCGGATGCTGACGTGGATGAGCTGGAGAGGGGAGTCTTAGTGGCTCCACTAGCGCCGGAAATGGGCCGCGCGATTCCCCTCTTGAGCTTTTCAATCTGGATGGTACTACTGTCAGTGGTACTGCTGCCTACATTGCTGCCTAATGTATTAGTATCGCCCGAATCGGCAGCAGCTTGAGACAATGATCGAGGTGCGGTGCGCGCGGCGGCCGCATTCCCCCCGTCGTCCTCCTCCTCCCCCACGGCTTCCCCTGCGGCTTCCGCCGAGAGGTCCTTCTTTTCCCCCCTCCACTGCCACCGCCTTGCGCCGATCATTCCCCCGGACGCCCAGTTGCGGCGCGTGTCGCCCCGGATGCCCTCGGGATCTCCGGCGGATGGTGCGGCCACGTGGCGGAGTCCAGCGTTTTTTTCAGGAATTTCTTGCCCGTGTAAAACGGGCAGGAGCGGCGCGGGGGAAGCGTGATTCGCGTTCCGCCACCCGACAGGGCGGAAGGGAATAGGCAGAGTAGGCCTATGTATATTCCGCATGGTTCTACTGTTACTAAAAGTACTTTCTCTACTAAGTCCGTTACTTCTGGATGAACTAAGCAACCCTGTGTCTGAGGATCTCCGAGCGGGCGGCGCGGGATTCGCGTCTAGTTCGCCCGAGCATGGCGTGTAGTACGCTAGCAGCAGCAGCACGAGCATCGCCGCCGCAATCCGCGGTGGACTCGGCCGCCCAGGGATAACGTTGCGCCGTGCCGTTCGAATGCTGATGCTTCGGCGAAAGGTGCAAGCCATTACCAAATATCTATCGCTTCAAAGAAAACTAAACTAATAAATTATCAAGAGAGGCTGGTAAAATTTGGGATCATGTAGTGGCAAGGGGTGAGGAGATTTCTTTCGCCGTGAAACGCGCTTGCAGCAATGCGTGGGGATTGTCGCGAAGCGCGGCAACACTGCCAGTGGGCAACATTCCCCGAGATGAAATCTGATGGTCATTCGGTCACGACACAACTCATGATCTGGAAGCAACTTTTAGCAACTGGAGGAGCAGGAGGGGGGATGTGTGACTCTTTCTCCCCTCCGCAACAAGAAACGAGCGGAGGAGCACCGCATTGTACCGAAGTCCAAAGCTAAGGGTAATCCCACCGTTATCCTGGTCTTGTCTGGTCATGCTGTGTGACAGAGACACGGCACGGCAGACGGATGGTACCTGAGGACTTCGAGGGAGAAACGAGGGGGTGTGGGGGACCCGGGGGGCAGGGGAGGGGGGAGGGAGAGGGGGCGGGGTAGGAGAAGAGAAGCAGTGGGATGGGAAAGGGAAGTCTGCAAGGAGAGAGAGACGTCATCCATAAAATTGATTCTTGTTTAGATCTCATCCGCTCTCTCTTCCTGCCTTTCACGTCTTGCCTGTCGCGCGCTTCGGCAGCTGCCACCCAGACCCAGGCCTGTGCCCTGAAGTGTTTGAGTTGAAACTATACAGATGGGGTGATTTTTGGTGTCTCTCTCTCCGCCGAGACGTGGGCTGAAACTATACGATGAGGTGATTTTTTGTGTCTCTCTCTCCGCCCGGACGTGGGCTACTGCTGTGTGAATCCGCGTGAAAATTGAAATGGTCGGTCAGATCACTTTTCATCTCAGGCCTTTGTTCTGAAACACCTGAAACGTGAACTGATGGAGAAACTGTTCGGATATGTACGGGGAGGCATTCTGCACTGCACTGGACCTATGCGGCATTCGGTCGTTTATTCCTTTGAGATGGAGATACGTGTGAACGTTGTGTATTGGCCAGCTGATAAAAACCTGTACAGTATTTGAGGGGCGGGAAAGTGAGAAGCTTTCAAATACAGAAAAGTTTTCAAACGGGTGTGATTGTTTCCCCACAACAAGATGAAACGCTTTCATGTGGTTGGTTGCGTTTTTTCGCCGAGTCAGGACAAGTTGCCACTACGTCCCCGCATCTTTCATGGTACCGTACGTGTAGAAGTGTTTTGCAACTGTTAGCTTTGAAGACCTATGAATCACAGTTTTCCTCCTCCTGTAATTACGGAATACTATGTAGCGCGTACAAACGCAACGCTCCCCCAATCCCATTGCACCCATTAGCTGTAGAATTTCAGGTTGGAATAAAATTTGCGCTGCCAGTGTCAGGCTTGTACAGGCAATGCAGTATAACGAAGCGAGTACAGCAGACACCATCTGCGCTCGATTCTTGCTTCATAGGAGTCTAGAACCTTGACCCCCAGCTGTTTCCGGTCAATTTGCGTATTTACGCTGCGTGTGGTACGCTTTCGCGCCGTTCCTCAGCGTGTTGATAGAACAGATGGCAAAGAAGTCGAGAGAGACGAGAAAGCGGCAACTCGAGTTTGATCAACAGAGTAAGAACGAGGCGTTGACAGGCCATGCGTAGGTCAATATGTGACCAAGTTCGCTTGAGGCTCGAATGTACTGTTTACCACACGAGCGTTTTCCTGTTCAGTGAGCTCGGCGATAGATAGCTGGGGTTTAGCATCTCGGCGACTCCGTCCTCAATCGTGATGGCTAAGTGCTCCTCCAGTGTGCCAGTCTGCTACCACCCTGAAAACCCTCTCACTCCCTTTCTAACCTCCCCCTCCCCCTCCCGATTCCTCCCCATCGCGAACGCCTTCTCGCACCCTTGCTTCGATATATCTTCCAGGAGAAAAGGAACAGAAGGAGAAGCTGCAAAAGAAGAAAGAAGAGAAGTCGTTGAAGATGAAGGTAGGCTGAGATAGAAATGCTAGCTGTGTGCTTCCAGTGCACATTAAAGTCCCACTTCCTGTGCTTTCTTTCTGAGGTTTATAACTACCTACCCACCCGTTAATCGGTGGCAGGTTGATTCCAAGTCTGGTGTCGCTAAGAAGAGGAAAGCTCTCAAGTTTCAGCTTCGGGTGCAGAAGAAGCTCCAGCTCAAAATTGGAAAACGTGCGGCGCACAAACAGATGAAGGAAGCTGCTAAGGTCTCAATGGACATAGAATAAGTTAATGTTGCTGTACACGTGCTGTAAGATATAATTCAAAAAATCTGTACAAAAATCGTTACCATTTAAACTCTAACAAGTATATCATCGTCGCTTATTGATTGGCCCTCACTACCTCTAGCTCCTCCACGGGATGCGGCCCCTCCACCTCCTCAATCGTCAGGTCCTCGTTTCCCCAGCTTTGCTCCGCGCTGAAAGTACTTCGGTCTTCAGATTGGTCGCTAGGGACTATCTCACACTCAGATTCTGTGTCGGAATCGGCGTCAGGCAGCCGCGAGCATACGCTAATTAAGGCTCGAGAGCAGCCGCCGCGAATTCCGCCGGAAATGGCCGCAAAGCAGGAAAGAGCGGAATTCGGGGAGGCTGGGCACTTCTGAGGACAAGAAGGAAGTATTACATAGCCGTTCGTTCTCATTCCCGCTGAAGCCATCAGAGCTGAAGCAGCAAAACTGGACGCACAACACACTTGCGGAAAATAAACGAAGAGAAGGTGTCTAGTATGTTCACAGGGAATGGATCAAAGAATCAATTACTCGAGAAGTCGACACACGCCATTGCCCACCACTTTGTAGTAGGGGTTCTAAAAGACGAGCTCTCAGCTGAAGTTTCCGAGGGTCGATTGTTGTGGTGGGCGTTTGTCGTACAAGGCGTCGCCGCCGTCGGTTATTGTCGCTGAAGTTGCCGCGCGAACGGTGAACACAAGCAAGCTCAGTGCATGCGAAGAATCCAAAGTGGAACCATGACAGCACAGCAGTGGTTGGGCTTCCCCTCCAGACGTAGTCGGAGGGGTACGGATGGGTGCTGCTGCAATCCCAAACCGAGTTGGCCCGGGTGACGCTAAGGCTTGGAGTCAGCCAAACCCATATTCCTCGTCAAGAGAAAATCGTTGCAGATAAAGCACCGTGTACATGAAATTTCTAACTCTAGAATTCATAGAATAATTAAGAAGGGTTTTGTTCCAAACGCTGGTTCTTGTAAGACAAGACAACCCCCCTCTCCTCCCCCACTTCCACTTTCTCAGGTCCAAGCCAAGTTCCAACCTGCACCGACCGCGAACCTCGGGTCTGTGCAATGCTTTCCAGGTGACACAAATTCGACAGCCAATCCCGAACAGCATTCTGCGGCTCCAAGAACTTCCCTCGATAGTGTCAAGTGATGTGAAGACCTTGGGATCTTCTGCAACTTGCCTCTGCACGAATCAGCTTCATTCCCTCTTTTCCCTTCCTCCCTCTGCTCCGCAATTCCCTCCGCGCGGAAGACAGCGAGGAAAAATGTTGAAGCAGCGGGAGATTGGCGGAAGGATAAGCGCGGCAATTCCTCCACAGAAGGTTACATTTGTATTGTGTGTGCTGCTGCTGTAGTTTTGCTGTGTAATGCGGCAACGGCTCTATCTTCTTGCAGCAGTACTTCAACAAACATGGCTGCGCTTGGCTAGGAGCCTTGGGCAATCTACCTGTCCCAGTATAAAAATAAATGCTCAGGCAGAGTGTAGACGACCAGACCAGAATGAGCTGATCATCGTGCTATCTTGCACATACCCTATTTCGTGATTATTTATTAGACCGCTATCGCTTGATACAGTCGTTCCTACTGATACCCGCACAGCTTATTGAGCAACTTTGGACCTGAGCTTCAGCGACTCAACGGATAATGCATTAACGAGCGGCGAGTATCGGCATTGAACGCTGTCCATTGTAGCGCAATGGCTCTTCAGTTAAGCCGTAGCCGTAGAAAGCGGAGGGCTGATGGAAATAATGGAGCTGCCAAGTCTGACATTCGGGCTCGGCAACTCAAGGCCACTATTGGCGTGGACTACAGGTTTGTAGCACACAAGCATTTTCATAGTGAGAGACCTTTTCTGTCGAGACGGAAACGTGCCAACATGGTGCATGTTGAAGCTGAAGCGCTATCAGTGGGGTACCTCTCTAACAACGAGCCTCTTAAGCCAATCCCGAAGCAGTCCGTACCGGGTATATCCAGCCAGTCCTCGTTTGACGCCGGTCGGTCGTTAGAAGTCATGGTCGCAGAGCATCGCTCTGCTCGTCGCCATCCACCGATACCGTACGACGTCGCGTCTGTCGCACAAGGTAACCCCGCCGGTCAAGAAGCCGCGGGGGGTCTTCGCGGATCAGGCGTCGCGACAGCGCAGCAGTTCCCCTTCCCCATTCCCATTCCTCCCGCGGCGAACCGCCCTACCGGTCCCATCATTCCCGTTGACCCTCCTCCCCTCTTTAATTTCCCACCCGCACCGAACCGCCCTACCGGGCCCGTGTTCCTGTTTCCCCCGGTCCCGTCCCGACCGCCAATCAACGTGCCTCCGGTCAACCCTCCCCCTACCACGTTCCCACCCCCTGTAGCTGCCCCACCGCCACCGGTTAACCCGCCTCCGAAGCCCCCCGTTAATCCGCCTCCCAAGCCGCCTGTTTTCCCGCCTCCTAAGCCTCCCGTTAACCCGCCTCCTAAGCCACCTGTTTTCCCGCCTCCTAAGCCTCCCACTAACCCGCCTCCTAAGCCACCTATTTATCCTCCTCCTCGGCCTCCCCCCTCTCCACGCCCACCTCCTCCCGCTCCTTCTCCTCCGCCACCTCGCCCCCCCAATCCCCCTCCTCGTCCGCCTAAGCCGCCGTTGACCCCCCCAAACCCGCCTCCTCAGCCCCCGAAGCCCCCGGCTAGTCCCCCCAACCCCCCACCACGCCCCCCGAAGCCGCCATTGACTCCCCCGAACCCGCCACCACGTCCCCCCAACCCGCCACCTGTCCCTCCGCCCGTGCCTCTCCGGCCCCCTCCCAGTCCTCCTGCCCCTCCCCCTCTGATACCTTCCCCTCCCCCCACCACAAGTCCTCCTCCCCAGGTCCTTCCGCCCGCCCCAGCCCCGTTCCCGCCCCCGGTCACTCCCTTCCCTCCCAATTTGCTACCATCCCCGTTTCCTCCGCCTTCCCCGCCGTTCGTCCTTCCGCCGCCTCCGCCCGAATCGTCGGGGCTATCGATGGGGGCGATCATAGGCATTTCTGTCGGCGGCGCCGTGGGGCTGATTTTCCTCGTCACATGTGGTCTCCTCGCCTTTTTCTTCCTCGTGCCAAAAAAGAAAGAGGGCGAACGAACCCGCACTCGCGGCGGCGGCGGCGGCAGCGCGGCCCCAGGAACCGTGGGCGGCGCGGAGAAGGCGCCGTTTTACGCGCAGCCGCATCTGGTCCGCGGGGTACGCGGACGGCAGGCGGCTGCTGCGGCTGCGGCCGGGGTAGCGGCCGGCGCGGCTGCGGGCGGTGTGGCTGCCGCTGCGGCGGCTGCAGGCGGCGGGCCTGGCGAGGACGAGGACAGCGAGGAGGGCAATAACGCGTATGGCGACGGCGCGCCCGCTGCAGGAGAGGAAGAAGAGGAGTATTACGAAGATGAGGACGGAGCGGCGGGAGACGGGGAGGAAGGGGACGAGGATTTATACGGGGAGGCGGAGGGAGACGGGGAAGCGGAAGGGGAAGCGGAAGGGCAAGCGGAAGGGGAAGCGGAAGCGGAGGAGGAAGAGGACGATGAAGACCTATACGAAACCAGTGGCGCTGCTGACGACAGCGGCGGGCCTTATTTGGGAGGCGACTCCGGAGGGGGAGCAGGCGGATCGGGCGAAGCTGGCGCAATCGCAGGCGCAGCCGCCGGCGCGGGGATCGTCGCTGGCGCAGCAGCCGTGGCGGGCGGCGCAGCAGCCGCCGTCGCGCTGGGAGACGGCGACAGGATGAGCGAAGAAGCAGACGACGAGTGGTGGTTCCCGTACGAGGAGCTCGAAGAAGCCACAGACGGGTTCTCAGACAGCAACAAGCTCGGGGAGGGCGGGTTTGGGCCTGTCTACCGGGGCTTACTGGCGGACGGAATGCCTGTGGCGGTGAAGGTGTTGAAGGTGGGGGGACACCAGGGGGAGCGGGAGTTCCGCGCGGAGGTGGATATCATCAGTCGTGTGCAGCACAAGCACCTGGTCACGCACCTGGGGTACTGCATCGCCAGCGCGCAAAGGCTGCTCGTGTACGAGCTCGTGCCCAATGGGTCGCTGGAGGACGCCTTGCACAGTGAGTGATAGAGAGGGTTACCTGGTAACCATATGTTGTTTGGATTGGACACTCTAGAGGGGTACTGCATCGCCAGCGCGCAGCGGCTGCTGGTGTACGAGCTCGTGCCTAATGGGCCGCTGGATGACGCCTTGCATAGTGAGTGATAGAGAGGGTTACCTGGTAACCCTGTACTGTTTCGTCACTTTGGAGGGATGTTTCAGCGCTTGTGCGAGCAGCTGCTGTTGGTGTACGAGCTCGTGCCCAATGGGTCGCTGGAGGACGCCTTGCATAGTGAGTGAGATGTAGTTACCTGGTAACCCTAGCCTTGTTACTTGATCTGGAGGGGTACTGCATCGCCAGCGCGCAGCGGTTGTTGGTGTACGAGCTCGTGCCTAATGGGCCGCTGGAGGACGCCTTGCACAGTGAGTGAGAGGGAGGGTAACCTGGTGTGTGGTTTGATCACCTCGTAATGTCTGACAACCTTAGACGGGTCCTGTACTCACCGCACCCTAGGCTTCTCCCCTTCTCCCCAACCAAACCTTTCTTTTTGCTCTCTTCACTCTCGCCCAGCCGGACCTCTACTTTTGCCCTTTTCAATTACCCCCTGCCGAACCTCCCCTTCTGCGCTCTTCCCTCACCCCCAACCGAACCTCCCCTTCTGCGCTCTTCCCTCACCCTCAACCGAACCTCCCCTTCTGCGCTCTTCCCTCACCCCCAACCGAACCTCCCCTTCTGCCCTCTTCCCTCACCCCCAACCGAACCTCCCCTTCTGCGCTCTTCCCTCACCCCCAACCGAACCTCCCCTTCTGCCCTCTTCCCTCACCCCCAACCGAACCTCCCCTTCTGCCCTCTTCCCTCACCCCCAACCGAACCTCCCCTTCTGCGCTCTTCCCTCACCCCCAACCGAACCTCCCCTTCTGCCCTCTTCCCTCACCCCCAACCGAACCTCCCCTTCTGCGCTCTTCCCTCACCCCCAACCGAACCTCCCCTTCTGCCCTCTTCCCTCACCCCCAACCGAACCTCCCCTTCTGCGCTCTTCCCTCACCCCCAACCGATCCTCCCGTTCTACCCTCCCCAGGCGAGGGCCGTCGGCTGCTGGCGTGGAATTTCCGCATGAAGATCGCTCTGGGCGCTGCCAAGGGCCTCGCGTACCTTCATGAGGAATGTGAGTTGTGCTCTCACTCCCCCCACCTCCTCCTCCCCGTCTCCCGCCCCGCTGCACGAGGAATGTTTCAAACCCCGCTGCCTGTCACGCTCTCCCTTCTCTCCCCCTCTTCCCACCGCTCACCTCTTCAGTCTCCTTAACTCCCGTCGTCCCTTTCCCCTCCCCGCCTATTCATCCCATCCCACCATAATGGTTGCTGCTCGTTTTGTCTGAAGCATAAGCACTACATTCCAGGCTTCACCACACGCCTCCTTTCCTGCCTTCCTGTCCCGCTCATTCTGCCCGCCTCACACTCCCCCAAATCTCTCCCTCCCTTTCCCCCTCCTCCTGGTGTGTTCAAGCAACCTGCACATCATTTCTCCTCCCGCTCCCTTCCCCCTCTTCACATCCCACCCCATCCCTCCCCCCCCCACTTTCCCCACTCCCCGCCCCTCTCCTCCCCCTCCCCCCCTTCTCCCCTCTCCCGGTGTTCCCAGGCAATCCGCGCATCATCCACCGGGACATCAAGTCGTCCAACATCCTCCTCGATAAGGACTATGAGGCCAAGGTGGGTTTATGTGAAGCGAGTGTGAGGCGTTTCCCCAGCGTGCATAGCATAGTAGGAAGGTGGGCATGCAGGCATTTCGTGCATCATCCACCGGGACATCAAGTCGTCCAACATCCTCCTTGATAAGGACCATGAGGTCAAGCTGGGGCATTGCTGCGAGGCCAAGGTGGGGCATTGCTGCAGTGTGCATGCATAGCATAGTGCCTCAGTGTGCATTGGGTAGTGCTAAGGCGGGAGGAGGAGGGGGGGAAGGAGGGGCAAGCCGCGCATCATCCATCGTGCCATCAAGTCGACTACGAGGCTAAGGTGGGGCATTTTTACAGCGCACATAATGTAATGCACCAGGAGTGATGAAGGTGAAAACAAGCGAGTGTGAGAGCAGGGTGGGAGTGTGAGAGCAGGTTGGGAGTGTGAGAGCAGGATGGGAGTGTGAGAGCAAGGTGGGAGTGTGAGAGCAAGGTGGGAGTGTGAGAGCAAGGTGGGAGTGTGAGAGCAAGGTGGGAGTGTGAGAGCAAGGTGGGAGTGTGAGAGCAAGGTGGGAGTGTGAGAGCAAGGTGGGAGTGTGAGAGCAAGGTGGGAGTGTGAGAGCAAGGTGGGAGTGTGAGAGCAAGGTGGGAGTGTGAGAGCAAGGTGGGAGTGTGAGAGCAAGGTGGGAGTGTGAGAGCAAGGTGGGAGTGTGAGAGCAAGGTGGGAGTGTGAGAGCAAGGTGGGAGTGTGAGAGCAAGGTGGGAGTGTGAGAGCAAGGTGGGAGTGTGAGAGCAAGGTGGGGATTGCCTCACAAGCACTATGATGATTGGGGTGAGGCTGGAGTTCTGGCGCTGAGTTGAGGGCGTAACGCTTCAGTGATAATCTTCAGGAGCAAAGAGACGAATGAGAATATGAGGAATGTGCCAATGAAGGGGAGTCGTAAACGTTGTGGTGGAAAGTGCATGTGTGGTTGATCGCCGTACGTGAATCATCAACTGACTGAATGCATGATAGCATGCATGTGTACATGCATGTGTCATAATTTGCATGTGTAAGAACATCATTTTTGTGTCAAGAAAACATACAGTGTATTTCACTCTTGACATCCCTGCGTGTCTGTCCAATCCCATGCTGCCAGGTGGCGGACTTTGGTGCTGCCAGGCTGGCAGCAGAGGACGCCATGCCAATTATCACACGTGTAGTTGGCACGTTTGGGTAAGTCGTTCATTTAAACTTCTTTGCTCATTCCCAAACCCCACCCCACCCCCCTTCTCCACCCCCCTTCTCCACCCCCAATTCCCAACCCTCTCGATTCCCACATCCTCCCCTTCCCTTCCCCTCCATTCCCCACCCCCCTCCTTCCCCAATTCCTTTCTGAACACCAATCTTCCCAGTCCTTCTGAACCCCCTCCGTCCTCGCCATTCAAACCACCATGCACTCGTTTTTCCGACCTCCGCCCACGCCCATTCCCCCACCACTTCCTTTTTGTTCCCTTGTTCCGCTGTTATCATACGGAGATTTCGAGCTACCTGTGGCCAGTGCACGTGTTAACAGGCAAGCTTGTGTCAGAGGGGAGGCTTTCAGTCAACTGAGATAATACCCTAGTTCACCCTGCCCTAGTTCACCCTGCCCTCCCTTATCATCCCTACTCCCTCTCCCACCCCCACGCCTACTTCCATGCCTCCTTCCGAACCTCCCTGTCTAATTACTCACAGGTACCTGGCACCAGAGTATGCATTGACAGGCAAGCTGACTGAGAAATCGGACGTGTTTTCGTTTGGCGTGGTGCTGCTGGAGCTTATAACGGGGCGGAGGCCCGTGGAGCAGGAGAAACCGCAGGGCAGCGACAGCCTCGTGGAATGGGTGAGTCAGCTTATAGCGAGGACAATCGCCCGTTCCTTGCCATACTCCCTTGTGCCACGCACCTGGGGTACATTGAGACCAGACCCCTTGAGCAATCCCACTCCCTCACCTCATCATCCCTCTTACTCCCTTACCTCCCCTTGTCTTGGAGCTGGATGGGTGCTACGGGGAGCGGGAGATGGAGTGGCTGGCTGGTCACTGCGGCTGCGCTCACTCTCCCCCTCTCTGTCGTACTTCCTCTCCTCTTTCTTCCTGTTCTCGATCGCTCCACTCCAGGCGCGGCCTCTCCTGGCGGATAGAGCAATGGAGGAATTAGCAGACCCGGAGTTGGATGGGTGCTACGGGCAGCGGGAGATGGAGCGGCTGGTCACTGCAGCTGCGCTCTGCGTGCGCCAGTCTGCTGTGCTGCGCCCCCGCATGAGCCAGGTGAGCCTTGTGCTTTACCACTGGCTGTAGCACAGGCTCTAGCATCGTTGCTGTGTGCGCCAGTCCGCTGTGCTGCGCCCGCGCATGAGCCAGGTGAGCCGGTGTGCTGTAGCGCGGCTGTAGCGTCGGCTGTGGCGTCGGCTGTAGCATCGGCTGTAGCAGACTGTAGCACAGGCATTGGTGAGAACCTAATGTTGGCAATGCACTCTTGTTTGCCCCTTTGATCCTTCTCTCTCATATTTCCCCACTCTCTTGATGTCCGTTTCCCCATGCAACCCCAACTGCCCCATGCATCCCCTTACCCCCTCCTCCTCCCGGCATCCAGGTGGTGGCAATGATAGAGGGGCGGGGCGACGTGGAGATCGAGGCCACAGACGACGAGTCAGGGGCTGGGTTGCGGGAGCCCCAGTTCAGCTTTTGATGTATGCGCTCATATGCCCATTGAACCCTCTACTTCCACACCAGGTGGTGGCGATGATAGAGGGGCGGGGCAATGTGGAAGTAGAGGCAACAGACCACGAGTCGGCCGCGGGGTTTGTGGGGGGAGGGAGGGAGTCCTCATTCTATCTCTTGATGTTTGCCCCACTGCCCCATGCACTCCCCCCCTCCCTTTCTCCCCTCACATCCCACTCAGGTGGTGGCGATGATAGAGGGGCGGAACGATGTGGAGGTAGAGGCCACAGACGACGAGTCAGGGAGCACGTTGCGGGAGAGAGTGCAGTGTAGCTGTTGTTGCTTGCCTTGCGGTGGCGATGATAGAGGGGCGGGGCGATGTGGAGGTGGAGGCCACAGACGACGAGTCGGAGAGCGGGCTGAGGAAGCCACAGTACAGCTCGTGATGTTTGCCCTCCCATGGCCAATGTGCCCCCCACTCTCCCCCTCCCCCCACTTTTCTCCCTCACCTCCCACCAGGTGGTGGCGATGATAGAGGGGCGGGGCGATGATAGAGGGGCGGGCGATGTGGAGGTGGAGGCCACAGACGACGAGTCGGCCGCGGGGTTGAGGGAGGAGTGCGCCTCAATCTAGCTCTTGATGTTTGCCCCGCTCTTGCTCTCTCATGCCTCATGCACACCCCACTGCCCCATACACCCTCTCTTCCACCCCCCTCCTCTCCCCCCCCCAACCACCAGGTGGTGGCGATGATAGAGGGTCGGAGCGATGTGGAAGTAGAGGCAACAGACGACGAGGGGGGGAGCGCGTTGCGGGAGAGTGCGGAGTTCTCAGGAGGGGAGCAGGCAGGGCGGGATGATATGTACCCAGAGGAGATCGTGCAGCAGTACCCGCACAGTGCTGAGAGCAAGGGGAGCGCTGGGGTGAGTAAACATATGTGAGTGGAGATGGGGGAGTGTTGATTGGTGAGATGTGAGTTTCGACAGGAGTGAAGAGGGGTGAGCAGTGAAGTGGTAAGGGGTGAGAAGTGGGTGTAGATAGGGGTACGTGGAGAGGGAGGGCTCATTCAGCTTGTGTGAAGAGGTGCAAGTGAAAACAGTGACATTAAATCTGTCAAGTTTGTAGCTCTCCTTATCTCTCTTTATTGCAAAATTGTAAAACCTTCCTCTGCCCCTCACCCCACCCCATCCCTGTAGGCCAAGACGAGGAAGGGGCGCATGGCAGCGCTAGCAGCAGCAGCAGCAGCAGCAGCAGCAGAGCTCACACCCAGCCACTCCTTTACTCTCGTCCTCCCCTCTGCCCCCTCACCTTCCCCAACCCATTCTGCTCCTTACCCTGTCCCCTGCAGGCCAAGACGAGGAAGGGACGCATGGCAGCGCTAGCAGCAGCTGCTGCAGAGCTCACACCCGGCCACACCTTCACTTCTGTCACATCTGCTACCAGCACAGACCCCCTTATTGCTAACACCTCCCCCTCCTCCCAGGGCCAGATGCAGCCTCTCCCAGATGTACCTCCCCCTCCTGCCCAGGCTGGGCCGTCTGGGCCCATGCCTCTGCCGCTGCCACCCGGGCGCAAAGGGGGTGGTGGTGGAAATGGTGGTGGTGGCGGGTGGAGAGGAAAGTGAGGGGGGGGGGGTTATGAAAAAAAAGTGTGGCTAGTTCCTAAAATAAGGATTTCTGCAACTCCAGTTATCGTATCACCCTGGATATAAGTGCAGGTGTGCTTATAATAAAACATTGGTTTTTAGGGGGGTGTGCTTATAAATGAGTAACGGGCATAAGCGCATACGGTTGTAATTGTTGGGCTGAAAAAAACCCTTAGGATCTTTGCAGGACAGAATTCAAGGGTAGGACAATGTAATAGCGGAAGCGTTTTAGTAAAAGGATTGTGAACCACCTTGCGCTAGTATGTGAGGGCAAAGTTGATTGATTAAAACAAAAGAGATACAAGCTTTTATAAGAATACAAGGGAATATGAACAGATACGGTTAACAACCGTTTTACTGTTGCTGTTGCGGTTCGATACAGTGTCGACTCGGGCAACTGCTCAGTATCGAGACAGTTGTTTGTCCTTGCTGTCGCGCTGCATTTGTCAGGTCAAAGGTCCTTTGACTTTCGCGTAACCTCCAGCAGTTGTTCAACCTCCGAGGGTTGACTCGCCGATATATCGATATGATCTGTTTCGCTTCTGTCTTGGTGTTTCGACACGACAGAGGCGCTAAAACTAATTGTTTCCAACACTCCCCTTCGCTTCTGGAGTGTCGCTGCTGGTGACGTGGCTCTGTCCAGTCAGCAGCATGCAATATTCGAACTTCGACTTTCCGAGCTTCTTGGTCAAGTAATCAGCTGCCATCTCGGATGTAGGGCAGTAAGACAGCTCAAGTCTCCCCTTCTCGATCTCGTCCTTTACGAAGAAATATCGCAAGGCGATATGCTTCGTCCTGTTCGCGAATCCATTTTTGTTGGCTATGCGAATTGCCGACTGGTTGTGGTAGAATAGGGAGAAGCTGGGTAACTGGGCCAGCTTCGCTTCCTCCAGGAGTTCGCGAAGGTACAATCCTTCCTTGGTGGCTGAGCAGAGTGCAATATATTCTGCTTCGGCTGAGGAGAGAGCGATTAATTCCTGCTTACTCGACTGCCACGAGATAGGTCCGATAGGCTCGAGGCGGTAGATGTAGCCTGTGCGCGAGCGTCTGTTGTCAGAATCTCCGGCGTGGTCGGCGTCGACGTACCCGATTAGCTTGGGCGTTGTAGTTTTGCTCTTGTAGTAGATCAGGCCGATCGTTGGAGTACTAACGAGGTAGTGAAGAGCGCGGTCTAATTCCGCCATGTGTTCAGCTTCAGGCCTTTTGAGGTAGGTGGCGAGTTGACTTGCGGAGTATGATAGGTCCGGGCGGCAGGTAACAGCTGCGAAGAGAAGACATCCCAGTTTTATTTGGTAGTCGCGTATGCCGGCGGACTTTAGTGGAGCGGATTCTTCCTTGTGACTTCCTGCCGTGTAGCGGTATGGCGTGGAGATGGTAGTTGGCGTGAGTGCGAAGCGTTTGGCGATGGTGTCGGCATAGCGTTGAGGTAGATCGCGCCTTCTTCTTCTTGGATGTTGAGACCCAGGTACTGCGTGGAGGTCCTTTTGTAGCTCCCCTTCGAACCAGGTAGTAACGTTGTCGGTCGATCCGATGTAGAGTAGATCGTCTACGTAGACGATCAATAGAATGTAGTCGTCGCCTTTCGCGAGCCGGTACATGCCTTGGTCGTGAGGTAGCTGCCGGAATCCGATGCGAGTGAGTCGAGCGTGTAGGTACTGCTGCCATAGTCTCGGGGCCTGTTTGATCCCGTATAGGGATTTTTGCAACTGACAGACTTGGTTGGGCTCTCCGTGGGAACCGTGTGGGAGTTCGACGTAGATTTCTGCGTCGACAGGTGCGTAGAGAAAAGCGTTGGCGACGTCGATTTGCCGCAGTTTCTTTTTCTTCATAGCGGCGATCGCGAGAAGAATCCGTACTGAGGTGTGTCGACTGACCGGGGCGAATGTCTCGGTGAAGTCGCGTCCGTGCTCTTGGTCGAAGCCGCGTACGACCCATCGTGCCTTGAATTTGTCAATGGTGCCGTCTGCTTTCGTCTTCACACGGAAGACCCACTTCCCGGTGAGTATTGTCTTGTTTCGTGCCACGCCGATAGGGACCACTTTCCAGGTGTTGCGCTCCTTCAGTGCTTCGAGTTCTTTGTCCATGGCTTCACGCCATTTTTCCCTATGCTCCCCCCCCAGAGCCTGCTGAACTGTGGCAGGCTCCTTAGGAGTTTCGGTACCGTGGACCGCGGTGACTAGGCCAAGTATCTGAAGGCCACTCTGTGTGTAGCGGGGAAGAGTTGTGTCCGCGGGATAAGCTGCTTTGTCACCTGTTTCTGGGTCAGGTATGAAGTTGGGCCCTATGCGTTCTGCTTCGTTGGTGTTGACTTCTGCAGGTGTAATGTAATTGGTGTCGGCGAGGTCGAAATAAGTTTCGGCGTTGACGCTTTCGCGAGGATTTTCGTCGTCCATCGGGATAGGCACGGAGCAGTATGGGAGTGGTCCTGCGTCGTCCGAGGCGTTATCCACGTTCTGCTCGTCCCAGTCAGCTTCGTCTGCTGCCGAGGCGAAGGCTCGATCACCACGGAAGCCACCTGTGGGATCCCGATCTTCTTCCAGGTTGGCAAGTTATGTCGGAAGGGTGAGTCGTTCGTAGAAAATGACGTCACGTGCTGCTACTGTTTCTTTGGAGTGGACGTCGAAAATCTTCCACGCGTTGTAATTTCTTTCGATGCCCAGGTGTAGTCCCCACTGTGCGCGTTGGGAAAATCGGCCGGCTCGTGCAGATGGGGGTCGGTACTGTACCATGCAGCCGAAAACTCTTAACATTTTTGTGCTGCCCTGTTTTCCTGTCCACAGCAGGTGCGGTGATGCGTTGTTCGGTAGTGACGACGACGAAAGCAAGTTGTGCAGCATGACAGCGTGGTCCATCGCTTCAGGCCACTGGTGATTGGGCAGTCGCATGCCACGCAGTAATTTGCGCATGGTGTTCTGGAGAGTTTGATTCATCCGTTCCGCTACGCCTTGCTGTTGATGAGCATAAGGAAGCGAGATGAGCCTCTTGATTCCCCTTTCTGCCAAGAACTGCTTGAACCTCTGTGAGGTGTATTCTCCTCCTCCGTCTGACTGGAAGCTTTTGAGTTTCACGCCTGATTCTCGTTTTGCTACTGGGAGCCAAGCGATGAAGGCTTCGAAAGCCATGTCCTTGCTCGGAAGATTAAGGTGCCAAACGTAACGTGTAGCGGCATCGATGAACGTGATGGTGTAGCTGTATGCTCCTTGTCCAGGTTCGCGATTGTACAGGATGTCGCTGTACACTTTCTCAAGTGGTGCGTAAGCTGGTGCGCTGAGGTTGTGGTGAGAAGTAAATGGCCGATGTGGTAAGTCTGCTTCGGGACAAGTAAAGCACGTTCCACGAGCTCGTCGAAGTTCGGTTCCATCGGTTAGAAGCAATGAATCTTTGTCGAGTACTCCTGCTCTGATTGTGTTGTTTAACACCGTGTTGCTTGGATGTCCCATTCGTGCGTGCCAGATGTCTTCGCTAGCGCGATGTCCGGGTGAGCGACGATACAAGTCGGAGTTGGAGTAGAAGCTTGCGGTGAAGTTTGCACTTCGATGTACTTCTCGTGATTTTGGGTGAAGCTGTTGCGCAGAAGTCGGTGGAGTGTCATCGATTTGAGGTGATGCAGTTGAAGGACCAGCGATTGGTGTCGATGTTGCTGCTGCTGCTGCTGCTGTTGTTTCTGCTGCCGCCGATGTTGTCTCTGCTGCTGCCGATGTTGTTTCTGCTGCTGTCGAGTGTTGAATTGTTGCTAATGCTCTTGTTCGTTCTGCTTCAGGGATGGTGTGCGAGTACCAGAAGCCTTCTGGACTGAAGTTGGGGTCAAGATCCGGTGGATGTGTCCAAGAGGTGAAGGTGACGATCCCGTCGCTGTCGGCAGTTCCAAGATCTGGGACGAAGTCGAGGACGAAAACGTTATTTTTCAGGACCGCTTTCCCGATGTAGAGACCGCCTTTCCCGTGGTATAACTTGAACTCCTGAGTAGTACTATTTGCTTCGAGGTGGATGCCCTTCGCCATCAGTTGACTGACACTCAGTAAGTTGTAACCGAGTCCTTCTGCTATTAGAACCTTTGACATCTGCAGTATGACGTTTGTCTCTCGTGACTGAAGTTGTACTACGCCTTGTCGTCGTGTGCGCAGGTTCTGATTGTTGGCGACGGTGATGACAACCTCTCGTTGAAGTTGGTGTTCACGTTGAACAAAACGTCCTGAAGAGCACATATGCTGTCCACAGCAGCTGTCCAAGAACCACGTATCTTTTCCGGACGGCTCGCTTTGAGCGATGGCTGCATAGGTCGGATTTGGTTGAAGTGACTCGCGGCGAGACGTGCTGTCGTCGAGTTGCTCTTCCGGTGAGTAATATGGTGGTGACTCTGTGATGCAGGAATCGGTCAGCCGTGTCATGCAACTGACGATGTTTCTTGTTTCTTGCGCAGGTTGTCCCGTCGATGTTGTTGAGACTTGTACTTGAGATGTCGAATTCGCTTGCGTTGAGGCAACTTGATTGCTTGAAGGCCGAAGCTGCCGCTGCGTTGGTACTGACTGTTGTCGGTTAGGGCAGTGTGTGCGAGGATGCCCTGACATCTTGCAAAGGTGACAAAACGGAGGTACTGGTTTCGGTTGATGCCGGTAGTTGTTGTTGTTGTAGCGCCGTTGAGTGTGGAATGCGAATTCGGGCACTGATGTCTTCCTTTTGTGTCGTTCTTCTTGCAGGTCCATATCTTGCTGCTCAGCGTGGATTTCGGCGCAGAGTGCTGCTTCTGATATCTTTCCATGCGCTCAAAGTATGGCGCGGGTGGAGCGCCACTGAGGACCGAGGCCGCCGATGATGACTGTGACGAAGACGTCTTTTGAAATCGACCCTCCGCATCGAAGGAGTTTGTCGCGCAATTCGCGACAACGGCTGATATACGCCATCCCCTTTTCACCTGGTTTCATTTCGACTGTTGTCAGTTGCGCCATTAACCGACTTTGATTTACGCTGTCTGTTGCTTG